TCGGGAATCTCCCCAACATCCTCAGCCGTGAAGACTGAAGCAAAGAAATCATTTAGTTTCTCCGCAATGGCTTTATTGTCCTTGATGGCTCCTTTTATAGCTCGATCATCTAGGGGACCCACAGGTTTTTTAGCAGGCTTCCTGCTTCTAATATAACAAAATGTTTTTTAAGTATTTCTTTTTGAGTTTTTGGCTAGCTGTTCCTCAAAATCTTTTTTTGCTTTTCTTATGACATTTTTACACTTGATTTGACAGTGTTTATGTTCCTTTCTATTTATCTCACTAGGATTGGACTTCCACTTCTTAAAAGATACCTTTTTGTCCCTCACTGCTTCTTTTACATGGTGGTTAAGCCACGGTGACTCTCTCTTAGGTCTCTTGCTATGTTTTTTAATTTGGGGTATACATTTAAGTTGGGCCTCTATTATGGTGTCTTTAAAAAGTTTCCATGCAGCTTTCAGGGAGTTGGCTCTAGTCACTGTGCCTTTTAATTTCTGTTTAACTAACCTCCTCATTTTTGCGTAATTCCCCTTTTTGAAATTAAATGCCAGGGTGCTGGACTGCTGAGCTATTCTTCCCACCACAGGAATGTTGAATGTTATTATATTATGGTCACTATTCCCAAGCAGTCCTATAATGGTTATTTCCTGGACCTGATCCTGCACTCCACTCAGGACTAAATCAAGAATTGCCTCTCCCCTTGTGGGTTCCTGCACCAGCTGCTCCAAGAAGCAGTCATTTAAGCCATTGAGAAATTTTATCTCCGCTTCTCTTCCTGAGATGACATGTATCCAGTCAATATGGGGGTAATTAAAACCCCCCATTATTATAGAGTTCTCTATTTTGGTAGCCTCTCTAATCTCCCTCAGCATTTCAATGTCAGTATCACTGTCCTGGTCAGGTGGTCGGTAATATATCCCTACTGCTAATTTCTTATTATTGGAGCATGGAATTACTATCCATAGCGATTCTATTGAACATGTTGATTCACGTACTATTTTTATTTCATTTGATTCTACATTATCTTTCACATACAGCGCCACTCCGCCACCCACCCGGCCTGCTCTATCCTTTCTATATATTTTATATCCCGGTATGATTGTGGCCCACAGATTTTCCTCATTCCACCAGGTTTCACTGATGCCTATTATGTCAATCTCCTCATTTAATACGAGATACTCTAGTTCACCCATCTTATTAGTCAGACTCCTAGCATTTGTGTACAAGCACTTTAAAAATTTGCCACTGCTTATTTGTCTGCCCTTCCCTGATGCATTGGATTCCTTTATATG